TCCAAATTTCCAACCGATGTCCGTTGGAATTCCGTTGGAATTTTTTTTAAAATTTTCAAAAAAAATTCCAATCGGCATCCGTTGGAATTCGGTTGGAATTTTTTTTAAAAAAATTTCCAAAAAAAAATCCAACCGGCATCCGTTGGAATTCCGTTGAAATTTTTTTAAAAAAATTTTCAAAAAAATTTCCAACCGGCATCCATTGGAATTCCGTTGGAATTGTTTTCTAACAAACATCCGTTGGAACTCCGTTAAAAATTTGCAACCGATTTTTCCAACGTTAATCCGTTGAAAATTTCCAACGGATATCCGTTGGAAATACCGTTGGAAATTTCCAACCCAATTTTTCAATTGAATACGTTGAAAATTCCGTTAAAAATTTCCAACGGGTGTTTCCAACGGATACCCGTTGGAAATTTTCAACGGAATTTTAACGGAAATCGTCGTTGAAACGCCGTTGAAAACCGTTGAAAATCCGTTGGAAAATCCATTGGAATTCGAAGATTTTTTTGTAGTGTACGGTTATGTCTTATTCGATTCGGTTCGGCTCGGTTATTGCTAGGGTTGACATCGATAAACGAATGTTGTCAGAGAAAAAAAAAGAGTAGCACATCGGCTAGGGTTGACGTCGATAAACGAATATCGTCGTAAAAAAAAAGTAGCACATCGGTTAGGGTTGGCGGTGATGAGTACCGCCGTCGGAAAAAAAAGACTAGAAAAAAAAATAAAAAGGATGAAAGATGATATTCAAGACGATGATACTATTAGAGTAAATCATCATCATCTTCATCGTCGTTTTCTTGAATTCGACCACCATTATTGATGTGAAGAATTAAAAAAAATCTAGAACAAAAATCGAGGCTCTGATACCATAATAAGGAAAATGTTTTTCTATTATTGATAATGGGAAGAATACATCATAATATATAGTAAAATACAATAGAATATTCTAGGCATAATATCTAGGGTAAATCATAATCATATCAATGATAATATTCTAATAATAATATATTCCTATAACCACGTTCTCCTTCGCGATATCAAGAGCTCGAATCTTCTGATCGACGGTAATGGAATCTTGAAGATTGCAGATTTCGGGTTAGCTACGTTTTTTGATCCCAAGAACAGTGTTCCATTGACTACCCATCTCGTCACTCTTTGTTACCGAGCCCCTGAGCTTTTGCCTTTCATCATGATGTAGGGTCGATCTTTGGAGCACAGGCTGCGTATTAGGCGAGCTATACGCTGGAAAACATATTCTCCCTGGAAAAACCGAGGTTTGCACGTTCTTTATCGATCTTGTTCTTCCAGGTTTCATCTTTTGGTAAGTCGAAATACCCGAGTTTCAGGCGGAACAACTGCATAAGATATTGGAGTTATGCGGGTTGCCATCAGAGGATTACTGAGGAAAACTGAAGCTGCCATTTTCAACTGCTTTCGGACAATGTTTCCATACGGACCGAGAATCGCAGAGACGTTCAAGAACTTTCCTGCTCCGGTTATTTCGCTTCTCAAGACCTTGCTCTCAATTGATCCTGATTCTCGGGGTGCAGTGATTTGAGGACGTGACCTCCACCAGTCCGGAAGAATTACACACGGCGGCGTGACGATCGAAACGAGGAGGAAGTGAACGATTGTTGGTCTTGGCGGCAAGATTTGCATCTAGTTCGTGTAGGTAAGGCTCAGTAGTTCAAACCGAGGGAGGTAACGATCGTTTCTCAAACATATTCAAACAAGGCTCTTTCTTATGTTTGGTTTCTGTTTTTGTTTGCTTCTTAGAAATAGTGAGGTTACAGTAATCTTAGTTTCTCGGTAACATTTCGTTGTTGGTTGTAAGGTTCTCGGCCAAATCCGAACCAATGCGATCAGAGCTTCTGGGAAAGAAGGATTGAGCAAGGTCGACAACAAAAAGGAAGTCAAGTTCCAGAAACAAGAATCATGTTGAGGAGTGGATTAGCCTGATGTTGGTCACTGCAAGCAAGTGGTGAGGTAAGAATGGATCACCCGTCTTGTTCGAGGGAGGTAAGGTCTAACGTAGATTTTCTAATCGATAAGATTGCCTCGACACAGATTGTCGATCTGTGTGAGTCTGATTTGTTTGATTGGATTGGTTATTTCTGATTAAAACTGCTTAGAGGTACTTTTACGTAAAATGCAATCTTCTTTAATTGATCTTTATTACATAAAACATTTGAAGACGATAAACATGTTACAGAACAACTGACTTTTGTATCAACAGTCATTGGACATCCTGCTTGAGTACAATGAAATATTGCATAACCTTTTCACATATTTGGAAATCGATGGGACATGTCGCTAGTTTCGCGGCATATCGATCGAATAATTCATCGACCACTCGATCTCCGAAGTATTCCTCTACGAGTCCATGGAGGATTGCTCGAATTAACGAGACTATGAAATCATTTGTTAATGGCAAACCCTCCATAGGATGAATCACTCTTTC